TTAGTGTGACACGGTTACAGACGAGCCTTATAACGATTGTCGACTCGAGGCGATACGTATTGTGGTTGAAACATTATCGTTCCTTGGGTAGTGGTAAAGGCTGGTAAGATTTGTGAAAAAAAAGGTTGCGATCGTACGACGAGATGAAAGTAGTGTAAGAGAAACATGTATTTTCACAGCAGATACATTGCAGTTCCTTGGTCATAGACGTACGCATGGAGGGAGTGGAAAAACGGGCCGCATCTCCCTTGTCACCGAGAAAGGGGGAGGGGGCAAGTCTGCCTTATACATTGACCTAATAAGGAGGGGGGTCCTACAAAAAATCATCGCTTCCCCCCCCCCCCCTTGAAGGAAAACTCTGCTCATGCCTATGCATATAGGCAAGTAGTCATCATCATCATCATCATCAGCCTGACTACGTCCACTGCGTGACAAAGGCCTCTCCCATGTTTCGCCAGTCAACTCGGTCCTGTGCTTGCTGCTGCCAATTTATACCCGCAAACTTCTCAATCTCATCTGCCCACCTAACCTTCTCTCTCCCCCTAACTCGCTTGCCTTCTCTGGGAATCCAGTTAGTTACCCTTAATTACCAGCGGTTATCCTGTCCTACGCGCTACATGCCCAGCCCATGTTTATTTCCTCTTCTAGATTTGAACTACGATATCCCTAACCCCCGTTTGTTTCCTAATCCACTCTGCTCTCTTCTTGTCTCTTAAGGTTACACCTACTATTTTTATTTCCATTGCTCGCTGCGTCATTTTCAATTTCAGCTGTACCCTCTTTGTAAGTCTTCCATGTTTCTGCTCCATAGCAAAGGTACCGGAAAATGCAGCTGTTATATAACTTCCTCTTGAGGGATAGTGGCAATCTAAACCTGTCATGATTTGAGAGTGCTTGCGAAATGTGCTCCACCCCATTCTTATTCTTCTAGTTACTTCAATCTCGTGGTTCGGCTCTGCGGTTATTACCTGCCCTAAGTAGACATAGTATTTTACAACTTGAAGTGAATTATTACCTAGTAGTAGAAGTAGTATAGTAGTAATTGATAAATATGTTTGGTTTAACGTCCCAAAACCACCATATGAATATAAAAGACGCCGTTGTGGAGGGCTCTGGAAATTTCTACCATACGGGGTTCTTTAACGTGCACCTAAATCTGAGCACACGTGCCTACAGTATTTTCGCCTCCATCGAAAATTCAGCCGGGATCAAATCCTGTGATCTTTGCATCAAGCAGTCGAGTACCTTAGCCACTAGACCACTGCGGCAGGGCGTAGTAGTAGTAGTAGTGGTAGCAGTAGTAGTAGAGTATGTCTCAGTAGTAGCAATCGCAGTAGTAGTAGTGGTAGTAGTAGTAATAGTAGTGGTAGTAGTAGTAGTAGTGGTAGTAGTAGCAGTAGTAGTAGTAGTAGTCCTTACGCATCTTCATGAGGGAATGCGGAAATGCCCAAACAAGTTTTGTGCAATGATTCTCTCTATATCAAAGTTTACAAAACGTTTTATGTTTCCGTTTCCTTGAGTTACTCGCATCAGTTACGGTGCGGTTGGCGGAAAGCACCTTCTACAATAAATTAATGTTCCAGGAGCTAAAATGCGTTAAAGCCCGGGCAGGCAAAGTGCTAGTGCGCTTGTAATTTTATGGCACGCGCAGCATCGAGAATTGTGGGTCCAGTGCGACATGATCTTGTGTATACTGCTGGGTGAACAGTACTGGTACGGCGAACTGTACTTTAAACGTGGAGTCCCGCTTTGGTGATTACCGTACAAGATGGCTTTACTCTGGCCGTGGAGGGCACAGCCGGTGGGTTAGGGCTAGCGTCCGCAGCGCGCGACGCGCTCGCAATCGTCGTCATCCTCGTGGTCGGCACGCTGCCACCATCCGCGTGTCGCACAGGGCCCTCCGGGAAGTGACCCCGTATGAGAGGTCGCGATGGGACGAACGACGGGTCCTCGCCCATGACGTCACTCAAGGCCAGCAGTTGCCCCAGCGCGACGATGACGGCGGCGACGGCGAGCACGAGCGACGCGGATCCGACCATTTTCGCTGCCATCTTGCAGTAGGCCAAAACCGGTGCGCCTGAAGCCTCTGCCTCGTCGCACCTTGGAGACAAAACCTCACCGCCATCGCCACTACCCCGAGAGGACGGCAAGGCCGTAAACGTCGTGTCACTGGTAATCTTCAAGAAATTGCCTACAACAAGGACAAAAACAAACAGTGAGACCTACGCTGGTCTTCTTTGAAACACTGGTGTCTAAAGGTCAATCCATTATTCAGCCTTCTAATGATTTATAGTGGGGCGCTGCACCACTTAGAACTTTAGCTTGTTTTATAAAGGCATGGAAGTAGATAGAAGAAACTCAAAGAAAACGTGTACAACTATAAGTGCACAATAACCATGAAGAAAAATACATTGACCTTTCACTCCGACAAATTGTTATTTGCCTAAGTGTCCTTTTAAGGCTGCTAGCGCAGTCACTCCCCGACGTTTCTTTCCTTCTCATTTGCACGCGACGCGTCAAAACTAGCGACCGCACCTGAAGACACATTTGGAAGCTGTTCCGTTCGTGGCGGTAGCAACTTGGGCACCGGCAATGGATTCGGCGCCAGAGTTGATCCTTCCTTCAACGAACTGGCACCAACTTCCCGGCGCGAGCGAATTGACGGCGAATACGTCGGTAGAAGCGGATATGTTGACTGAAGCTCGCCGGGCCTCTTGTTGCGTTCATATTGCAATGACTCGCTTGGTAGCTGCAACTTCGGCTAATTGTTGCTTGCTTGCTCCTCAAATACCGACGCTTACCCACTACGAGGATGGCTGGAATACCGGTGGCTGGACTAATGTAGGTGTACAGGTTATGGTGCGGTACGATTAAACTTGTTCAGAACCTGAAGATTATGGGACGTTTAGGTTGACGCAGGCGGCTCCCACGTTGGGAGAGTAAGGTTTCTTCTTACCGCCCTATCGTAAGCCTTCTGAACGGCCTGTACTCGATCTAAAGAAGGGCTACTGTGAAGGATTCATTCGAACAAGTGTAAGAGTTGTCCTTATTATTAGGCACCGAACTAAAAATGAAGCGGAAGCTTACGTTGCGCGAAGTTAGTACATTGTTTCCCCTATTGCGGGGCATCCGCCAGTATTGTTTTTCAACACTAAAATATTTTATTTTAGGGTTCACAGAGACTTCACTGACGTATTTCCGTCGCGGACATGCGTCAGCAAATTACAGGGGACAAAGGATTACAGGAAAAAAAAATTGGCCCGAATCTGCACGTTACACTGCAAATATCGTCGAAAGACGATAGTCTTGCGTCTGGAGAGATTGAACAAAACATTTATTTGATGTTCTGCGCAAGAAAATCGGTCAATGGTATTCTGGAGGCGCTGGTTAGAGTGCCTCGAGCGTGCAGCAGAGGCCAGCGCCCACTTGGTGACTCTCTTGTGACTCTCATAACACATGCTCAGATTACGCTCTACCAGTGCAAATAGAATGGTCTTGTGGTGCAAGGCGAGTTTGCTAGGGAGCTATTCACGCGGTGTCCATCCGCTTCAGCATTCAGTTCAGCTACTCGAGAGGCCCGTGGTGTACCAGCACTCTTGACCCTGTCGATGCACCAAACCCGTCAGCACATTGCCGGCGTGCATAGAACCAAAGCGGATGAAATGTAGCCCCACAGCGGCGCACTGTGCCTTGTCGAGGAGCGCTAGTTCACCCCCAGATCTCCACTGGCGAGCGAAGCCTCCCACTACTCACTTCCAGAAATTTTGCTATTAGAGCTAATTTCTTCATTTGACTAGTTGCGGCAATTCTACATTATGTGGGTGAGAGTGGGCCTGCCACCGCACCACGGACAGCCATCGCTGTACATTCTGGGGCGAATGGCGTGGTTCAATGGAAAGTTGGGATATGTGTGTTTGTATACGGCACCAATAATGAGTCCCTACTGCATAGACCAAGGTGTGGTGCACTGTACTTTTGTCGCTCAAGCAGTAAGTGCGTGCTCAAGGAACTCACGGTAAGAAAGGTCGGCCGCACTGTTGGTAAAAGTACGAGCTGCGCCGTCCGCTCTCTCATAGTCACCGAGTGTTGCGTGACCCGCACACCAGATGATCGCGTGGTCCTCCATTAGGTAGGGTCCTAATGTGCGAATGGTGTTGTGTGGTAGTCTTCCGGTGAGGAAGAGTTTACATGCTACCATGGAATCTGTTAGAATAAGGGAGGGCTGTCCCACGATATCTCTATCTTTAATAGTTAACGCAACGACTGAAGCTTCAGCGGTATTCAAGGATGCGGCTCGAGCCGTGGCACAAGTGAGAAGGCCTTGACACGCAGCCGCTCCAACTGCAAGGGAATACTTGTTCATACCACATTGGACGACATCTGTATACACCGCCTCCAAATCGCTCTCGAATTGTTGCTGTAACTTGAGAGCTCGAACACATCTATGACCTTTCAGATAGTGTGGGTTCATGTTTTGGGGGATAAAGGATACTATAATCCTGTCACGTAGCTGTTTCACCACGGTTATCTCGTTCATTCTCCGCATACTGAGAACGAACTAGATAACCAACACAACTGTAATTATTGTGTATACTTCTAGACATTGAGTGGAGGTTCCAAGGGGTAGGCCGAGAGCCGCTTTGTGCGATTTTCGGATCAACGCATCTACGTTCGTAAAGATTCAGGGTATTTTTCAGATACGATTTTCCCTTTCCATTGGTCCCTGGTTCTCCATTTAGTGATTCCAGTTTATCAGATTCTGCTCAGTTGTAGTGTAATTGGTTGCAAAATTTATTTACTTCTTCCTTTTTTAATATACAAGGTTCTAAAGCATGCGTGAGTCACTCCTTTAGTCATCCATTTCTTTTTATCTACAATTGTCCCTTTTTATAAAGCAGATTTCATTCTGCGCCTCCCTAACTTCAAATACATGTCATGACACTAACAATATGAGCAAGAGTAACAACAACTACAATAATAACGAAACATAAAACGTCAACTCAAGGAACTCGAATACAGTGCTTTATTTCCAAGGGCAGGGCTGGCAGAATGCATAAATACAGCAGGAAGTAAGGAAGGACTCCCATGGGAGTAGTTAAAACAACACAACGCGGAGGCTTCTCTCCTCTCCCGTGCCAGAGCAACGAGCCTGTACAAGACCTAACGTTGGAGATGAGCCAGACTGGTTCTGTGGCTCCCACAAATGGCAGCTGCCCCTGTTGAAGAAGGGCGCCGTGCTCAACCGCGATGTTGGCGCTCCTTTTGCAGCGAAAGAATGCTCACGTTGCGCGTCACCTTGCGACGGTGGCTGCGAATACCAGAAGACAGAATAGAAAGAAAGAAAAAATGAGTTCCAAATGGACATTAGGAAGCAAAAGCATTGGTATGTACATCCAAGAGATGTCCACCATAAAGAGACGCTAAAGACAAAAAAATAGTTTTTGTTGTACAAGCAATTGCCTTGATAATGATGATGATACGTGGGGTTTAAGGTCCAAAAACCACCATATGACAGATGCTGTAGTGCAGGGCTCTGGGTTCTTTAACGTGCACCAAAATCTGAGCACACAGGCGGTACAGCATTTTTGCCTTTAACGTGCACCAAAATCTGAGCACACAGGCGGTACAGCACTTTTGCCTCCATCGAAAATGCAGCCGCCGAAGCCAAGATTCGGCGAGAAATTGTCTTACCGCGAGACCAAAACCACTACTGTTTGCCGTAAAATGAAGCCTGCTTATGTGGAGAAGGTGTAAAAAGAATATAAGGATGCCAAATCGTCTGAAACCTGCAGCTTCTATTTACTCGGTTGGTTATGACGGCGCCTTCTGCTAAAGACTACATAAATCTCGTGAGTAAAAGGAAGAAAGAAAGCACACACTGTTACCTTGAGAATTAACGCCGCTACATTCCGGGTGAATGAGGCCAAAACAAACACACAGAACATTGCGATCCGTGACGCTACACTGTGAATTGCCGTGTTAAATGTTTCGATGCAAAAGTTGTAAAATCGAACTTTGACTTCCATTTTCTTTGCTCGTTGAATTCAAGGCGATGTAGTTGTCGCATGACTTATCGCAGGACTGTATTGCATTTCAACATGATGTGCCTCTAACTTTAGTGCTGCTCAGAAAAGAATACGCGGACAAAAAGTAGCAAAAATAGGTGGCGACATGTAAAATTTTGCCCCACGGTGACACGGACTTTTCACAGCATCTAGTTAAGGCTAGCTACTTGTTGATTTAATAAAATAGGAGTGTAGTTGACGGCAAAAAGTAAAGTTCCTTTCGAGAGAGAGTCAGGACGCGAGCCGTATGTTCCTGTGTGGAAGGCACCATAGTTTAACTGGAGGGGGGACTGGCACTGCGATCATTCAACAACCGTGGGAATGATGAGAGTACATGAATTTGCCTAGACTTTATACTTGCGGGCGGCGAATCACACTTTTGGCTTCGTTTATTGCTGTGTTTAGGTTTTGTTTCGAAGGAAAGACAACCCTTTTGAACTTCGTGATCCTATTTGAAATGGTAAGGCTAAAAGATAAAAGCAGTAAATAGCAACTGCTGAACATTTGTCGACTGTTTCGTAAAAAGGCAGCTTCAAGCCAAGTGAAGCTAGAAGGAACGTAAAATACGAAGACAAGGCAAATTTGTGTACTACCGATAATTCCCCTGCTCACTGAAGCGCCATGCATTGCAGCTCCCATAGACACTAGCGCCAGAGTTCCCTCTAGTATGTATATAGAAAACTACGGGAGGCACTGTATACAGAGCAGCAGTCACTCTCGGAGCAGCAGAAGTTGCTCTGGTGAAATCGGAGCTCTGCATAAAACATTTCCTTCAGACACCCCTTAGTCACTTACTTGCTTAGTTCTTGTGTTAATGGAGGACGACGAATCGGTACAGCACGCGGCTGTGACCCCAGTTCGACACTGCTTCTGTTACTCGATAGCAGAAGCTCCAAATGGAAAGCTCAAGTCCACGCATGTTATGGCTACGTGACTCATTTCAAATAAACTAATACCACAGATGAGGCTGATAATTGTCACCGCCACTAAACCCAGCACATACTATAATGTGGTCTTGTTTCTTTTCAGGTGTGACAGGCGTTTGACCTGCTGCCGACACTTGCACGAACTGACATTGCCAGTGTTACCGGTAACACGTCACTTACGCACTTGTTAATATTTCAGAACTGTTATGGGTAACGTACTCACATTTACTTGCTATGTTATGGGTAATGTACTTACTCTTTCTTGCACGAGTTACTTCTCAAATTGGTCAGAAAACAGAGGCATCTTTCCACCGAATTAAAAACAGCAAAACTCGGGAACATTTTTTTCAGCTAGTTCAGAACATAGATTGGACCACTGTTTATAGACAAGAAAATCCTGATGATGCTTATAACACATTCATGACGTTATTGAGTACTAGCTATGATGCGGCATTTCTACTTCAGAAGCGCTCACGTGGCAAAAATAAGAAATGCAGAAAGCCTTAGATAAATAGTGATCTTTACCGGCGCATAAAAATAAAGAATAAATTGTATCATGATTTCATCCGTTCGCGGAACACAGACGCCTTAGCTGAGTACAAGAAATACAGAAACGTTTTAAATTCAGAAATACGGAAGGCTAAACAGAACTACTATGAAAAATTATTTGAAAGCATTTACAATGACCAGAGGAAGCTATGGGAGGTCATAAATGGGCTTACGAACAGAAATAAGGGTTGTAATAGGACACAGGACCTAACAATTAATGGTCAGATTTTCAGTGGTGAAAGGTTGGCCAATGTCATGAATGAACATTTCATAAATGCCGGTTCCTTTATTTTAACGGATGAAAAGCGAGATAATGCTCCAACTCCTGATAAGTCTCCTTTGCCGTATTCTATTTTTCTCGCACCCACAGATCCGGTTGAAGTAGAAAGATTAATCAGAAAACTTAAAAACAATGTTGCATCAGGGATTGATGAGATAGGTTCTGTTGAGTTAAAAATGGTGTCACCATTGATATCTAATGTCTTGGCCTATATTATCAACCTCACCCTCACTGACGGTGTATTTCCAGAGCAGCTAAAAGTAGCAAAAGTCACTGCAGTACATAAAGGTGGTGATGTCAATACTTTAGCGAACTATCGACCTATATCCGTGCTTCCAACAATATCAAAAATATTTGAAGGGGTTATTTATGATAGACTTGCATCCTTTTTTGATGAGCACCAAATAATAACAAAAAGTCAGTATGGTTTTCAAAAAAATAAATCAACAGAACAAGCTCTACTGTATATCAAAGATAAGATAATCGAAAATATGGAAAACAAAAAATATACTCTTGGGCTCTTCCTCGATCTTCAAAAGGCATTTGACTCCATACAATTCAAATCATTGATTCATAAATTATCAAGTTATGGGGTGCGTGGAGTTGCACTACAACTGTTTAAAAGTTACCTAGAAGATCGTTATCAATATGTAAAACTTAGTAACACTATTTCTGCAAAGATTAAGTTGAACCAAGGAGTCCCCCAAGGGTCTATACTGGGGCCATTATTGTTCCTTGCCTATATAAATGATATTGTCGATATACCTCATTCTCCTGAACTTGCAATCTTTCAAATTGGTTAAGGCAAAATGGACTGCGCTTGAATGCAAAAAAAAACAACCTATATGATATTCCGACCTATAAACAAACCTATTAGTAACATAGCTGTAAAATTCGAAGGAAATTGCATCGCACATGTTAGGGAACAAAAGTTTCTTGGTGTATGGTTTCAGGAGGAATTAAACTGGAACACACATGTAAATCATCTGATCACCGCATTAGCGCGAATAGTTGGTTGTTTTTTTAGAACAATGCACTTAATCCCATTGAGGTTAAAAATAAGTATGTACTATGCACTCTTCCATTCTAAAGTAAGTTATGGGATGTTAGTCTGGGGAACGACATCACAAGGGAATTACCATAAGTTAATAACTATACAAAAGAAAATATTGCGCTGCTTTGAAAATTGCAGGGGGAATCTACAAGACTTGCGCACTGCTCCACTATTCATTAAACATTCCATACTCAGAATTGATCAATTATATCATTTTAAATTACTTCAGTTAATACAAAAGACTAAGCTATATGAAAAAAGTTGCACCAAAAGACCACTCTACAGTCTGCAAGAACAAAAGAAACGAGCTCCTAAAACAAGAACCAAGTATGGAAAACAAAGTATTGCTTACCAGGTACCTCAGGTTTTAAATACCCTTGCAGATCAATTGAACTTTAGGGCTAGTAGTGCGACTTTCAAGAAACAAATAAAGAACTTATTCATAACCACCGGTCTACACTATCGAAACTACGTAATGGAGTCTCATGCCTCTGCAAATGCTTTAATTGTTCATAAACTTCTATGTCAATTATACGAGTGTATACAGCGGAATTCATTGTATCCGCATGCATTTTTTGTCTGTTTTTGAGTTGTTTCATTGATATTGTTTAGTTGTGAATTTTAACGAGAGTGGCCCCTAATTCTTAAAATGTGTTATGTAAACTTCTTATGCTATTTATGTTTGAATTTTGTGTTTACAATTTCAGGTTGCTTGAAACCAATGTATTGAATATATATATTGTTTGTCAGTGCTGATGTCTAAGCTTTGCACTGTCACGGACTGCGGAGGGACAAGGGCCTTTGTCAGGCTGTTCGCCTTTAGCCCTTTGCCCCTGCAGTGAGCTCTGTATCCGGCTTACTGTAAATAAAAATACTACTTCTACTACTACTACATTACCATTTTCAGCTATGTGGGGTATGACATGACTCGTTACTTTTGTTTCCAATGGTTCCAAAAATTTCCCACAAAATTCCTTCGTCTCGTTCTAGTACTCCCCATTTTATGCCATCATCACGTCAGACGTTAACACCAAGCAGCCACGCGCAGTGTTCTTTGTTGCAAGGGGGAAAATACACCGGGAAACAAACTGCCGAAATTCCTTAACTAGATGTGCTAGTTTTGGTAAGCTGGCTGCCGAGGTTCAAGTTGTCATTTACTGTTAGTGAATCGAAGTGAAATGCGGCACTCGGAGCCGTAAAAAGCGAGCTGTCAACTTGACTCATGGGCATCGGGAATCGGGGTACAGAGACCTGGCTGAGACGCAGCACAATCAAGGATGACTTCCTTGGAAATGCATTCTCAAGGACACCTCGCCAACTGTAGATGAGCGACTGTCTCGGTACTTCTGGTGCCTCATGACCCCGCACTGTACGTGCTCAAGGCAAACTTTTCGTGCGTTCATGAGCTCTTTCTGAAAGTGAATGCAGGTACCA